ATTATCAGTATGACTTATTTCAAATTATTGTTTTACTGAGTCCAAAACTAAGCATCTTTGTTTGAGCTGTTTGAGTCCAGACAAGTCGTTTGAAGCATTTGTCAAGCTCAAGTTGATTGAGTTTGCTACATTTTGTCCAAGTGATTTCTCAATTTTGGAGCTGGTAGTTGTTTAAAATCAACTGGAGACTTATATTATTGATATGTGCAGTAATGATGAATTTTCAGACTTGAAAGGAATTGCTTGCCTTGCGGAGATGTTGGTGAAGACGAAAAAACATCATGTTTATTAGTTAGTTTATTTAATTCTGAAGTTGGCATTGACATTACCTGTTTAAAGTCAACATTGAAGCAACAAATAATCCTAGAACTCGACGGTGGGCTTGGGGTTGGATCGGTAGGGATAGTGAGGGTAATTTTATAAAAGCTTGCAGCCGGATTATGAAGGCATCTTGGACAATGGAAGTGGAAGACATGGGAGTTCGGGAAGCCATTTTTTGGGCACGAGCAAATGGACGGAGGAAGGTAGTGGTTGAAACGGATGCGGCCATGGTGATATCGCGCGTACAAGGTGAGGATTATGAGTGTGGGCTTTATTTTTGAAGATTTAAAATATCTACGAAGTGAAGATACTAATCTTAAAATTAAATGATGCCGAAGATCAACAAATCAGGTGACTCATAGCACTGCAAGAGCATCTCTTTCTATGTCTGGTCAAGATTTTAGTTTTACAACACCGCCTTCTTTTATTGTGAACTCTTTGGCTCATGATCTTTTAATATAGTATTTGGCGTTTTTTCTCAGAAAAAAAGGAGTTTTCTTTGCTTCATGATTAGCCTATGTTTTCCTTTGCACAGACGTTTCAAATTTAAATGTTTTTAACTCCTTCCTTAATTAGGTACTGTAAATGCTTGTAGATGTTTTACTCTCAGTGACAAGATCCTAAGACCTGCTAGAAATTTCTAAGAAGCCCAAGATTTGCTAGAAATTTCTGAAGATCGGCTAGAAGGTTTTCTTCATTTTTGGAAGTCCGGGTGAAGACCAAGAAGACATCGGCAGCGGCTCAAGGAGACACCACAAGTGGGTTCATTTTCCTTCAACTCATAGTAGTATGTGTATACCGCCACAACCCTCACCCCACCTGCACGTAAGCCAAGAACATTGACTCTGCACTCAATATGTTTGGCGAAATTCCTCACTGAAAGCAGAAGCAGAGAAAGAAGAAAGAGTGATGCTGCGAAAGGTGCCTGCAAAGACATGCCAGCCTGTCATATGTGTCACAAAAATGAAAAAAGGGCCACCTGGCCAGCCACATCAACCAGCAATGAGATAACCGGTAGATAATGTCTAAAAAGTAGAATTTTAAAAGTTTGGGGAGTTAACGATTGATTTGATAGTAATTGACTTTTTCGCTGTAATGCGAGAGCCTATTCGAAAGTTTCCCTTGAAATAATGTAAGCAATGTACCGAAAAAGAGCTCTCCGATTGTAAACATTCAAAAACTTCTCATTGTCTTAGGATAAAGGAGGAGGGTGCTGTGGTAGACGTGTGACGGCCAACAGTATCACCTAGTCACATCACATGACATGAATCGAAATATGAAAATCGCTAATGCTAGGTCGTCACCCGTAAGTGACGCGTCATCCCTCCGCCTGGGGGTGGTGTCAAATATGCAAGGGCGCGCTACACTTGATAGACCTGGGTGTGGCGATAAGAATGCTAAGGTTGCTAGGTCGCCGTCCAGAAGCGGCGCGTCATCCCATTGCCCGGGGATGATGTCAAATATGCAAGGGCATGGTGGGGTCCGAGATGGGGCTAAAAACAGAAGGTGGAATGCTAGATTGCGTTTTGGGATATGGAATGTTGGGTCTCTTACAGGGAAATCTTCCGAGGTAGTCGAGGTTATGAGCAGAAGGAATATCAGCATTATGTGTGTGCAAGAAACTAAATGGGTTGGACAGAAAGCACGCGAGATTAATCCCAGAGGTTTTAAGGTGTGGTATTCGGGGAGAGATAAGACTAGAAATGGGGTAGGCATTATTGTGGCGCGTGACTATGTTGAGGATGTGGTAGAAGTCTTCAGGAAGAACGATCGCATCATGAGCATTAAATTGGTGATAAGAGGTGAGATTGTGTCTGTGGTAAGTGCCTATGCACCACAAGTGGGATTGGATGCATCTACAACTCAACAGTTCTGGGAAGATCTTGAAGACGTGGTGCGACGAGTGCCAAGGGGAGAGAAGTTGATCATAGGAGGTGACCTCAACGGGCATGTGGGCTCGAGTCGTGATGGCTTTGAGAATATTCATGGCGGACATGGTTTTGGCACTAGGAATGAGGCGGGAAAGAACATTTTGGATTTTGCCTTGACGTATGAGTTGGTTATAATGAACACTTGGTTTAAGAAAAGAGACTCACCTTGTAACCTATAAAAGTGGAGCTAATGGTACCCAAATTGACTACTTCTTAGTACGGACCACTGTGAGAACTAGCTACACTGATTGTAAGGTTATTCCAGGTGAGAGTGTTGTCACTCAGCATAGGATGCTTGTGCTTGACTTTCGAGGTAAGAACCATAGAAGACAAGTTAAACAACAAGTGGAGCCAAAGATAAAGTGGTGGAGGCTAGAGGGAGATCTTCAACAAAGCTTTACACACAAAATGGTCGGTGAAGATGTATGGCGTATTGATAATGAAACACAGGTAGATGGTGTGTGGTTATCAATGGAGTTGACCATTAACAAAGTGGCAAAGGAGGTACTTGGAGAATCTAAAGGATGTCGGCCACCTATAAAGGACACATCTTGGTGGAATGATGAGGTGAAACAAGCCATAAGGAACAAAAGAGATTGCTACAAAAAGTTGGGGACAAATTGGAGTGATGAGAACATAGAAGCATACAGGGAGGCTAAAAGACAAGCAAAGAAAGCCGTAAGGGAAGCACGAGGGAAAGTGAACAAGGAGTTGTATGAAAAGTTGGACTCTAAGGAAGGAGAACTAGATATTTGTAGACTTGCTCGTCTTCGTGATCGCAGAACTCAAGATATTGCAAAAGTTAAGTGTGTGAAGGATGTTGATCAGAGGATATTAATGGACGACGAAGAGATTAAAGAGAGGTGGGGGTCATACTTTGATACACTATTCAACGGGAACAAAACGCAAGATATCGGCGATTTGTCCATACCAGATTGTATGGTTAACCGTGATTTTGTGAGAAGGATCCAAACAACGGAAGTTCAAGAAGCTCTGAGGAAGATGGGACGGAAAAGAGCAATGGGGCCAGATGGCATACCGATCGAGGCTTGGAGAAGTTTGGGAGAGAGAGGCGTCGAGTGGTTAACAAGTTTCTTCAACATGATTTGGAGAAACAACAAGATGCCAACAAGTTGGAGGAAGAGTACTCTTATCCCTTTATTTAAGAATAAAGGTGATGTACAAGAATGTGCCAACTATCGAGGGATTAAGCTTATGAGTCACACCATGAAACTTTGGGAGCGAGTGATTGAGCAAAGACTTCGAAGGACTGTGAAGATTTCAGAGAATCAATTCGGTTTTATGTCTGGTCGCTCAACAACTGAGACTATTCACCTTCTTCGTCAACTTATGGAGAAGTATAGAGATGCTCATAAGGATCTGCATTTGGTGTTCATTGACTTAGAAAAGGCATATGATAGGGTACCTCGAGAAGTTCTTTGGTGGACCTTAACTAGGAAAGGCATATCACGCAAGTATATCAGCATCATCATGGATATGTATGAGGATTGTACTACAAGTGTTCGTACTAGTGTAGGGAGGACTGAAGAGTTCCCTATTACTATCGGAGTGCACCAAGGATCAGCCTTGAGTCCTTTCTTATTTGCCATAGTCATGGATGAACTTACGAAGTCAATTCAAGACGATATACCGTGGTGCATGATGTTTGCCGACGATATTGTATTGATTGATGAGACGCAATCAGGTCTTAAAGCAAAGTTGGAAGTATGGCGACAAACATTGGAGAATAAGGGTTTCAAACTAAGTCGGAGCAAGACAGAGTACATGGAGTGCAAGTTTGGTGGAGGTAGAAGTAGTGGTAATAGCGGAATTACTCTGGATGGTAAGGAGATACCAGTCAGCGATATGTTCGGTTACTTGGGCTCCATAATTCAGAAGGACGATGAGTTAGATGGAGATGTATCCCATAGAATCAGAACAGGGTGGATGAAGTGGAAGAGTGCGTCAGGATTTCTACGCGGCCGAGGTATGCCGACTAGACTGAAGGGTAAATTTTATAGGACAGCAATTAGGCCTGCATTACTGTATGGCGTAGAGTGTTGGGCGGTGAAACAATGTCACATTCAAAAGATGAGTGTGGCAGAGATGCGCATGCTGCGTTAGATGTGTGGGCATACTAGGAAGGACCGCATGAGGAATGAGACAATCAGACAAAGGGTGGGAGTAGCACCTATTGAAGACAAGATGCGGGAGTCGCGCCTACGGTGGTTTGGTCATGTGCGTAGAAGACCGAGTGATGCACCTGCTAGGCGAGTTGAGATGTGTGGAGAAGAGGCAGGGAAGAGAGGGAGAGGAAGACCCAAACAGACGTGGGTTAGGAGAGTTCGAAGTGATATGCTTCTTCCGGGGTTGGATGAGGGCATGACTTTGGAGAGAACTAAGTGGAGGGCGGGTATTCACGTGAAGGAGTGATCTTGATGATCTTTTTCCCTCATCTTTTTTTTCCTAGTTTTTTTTATCCTTATATATATATATATATATATATATATATATATATATATATATATATATATATATATATATATATGCATTATTTGCAGCCTTTTTATTTTATCATTTTTATATATATTCATCTTTTTTATATTATCTTTTCATAATAGTTTATCTTTTTATTTTTATTCCTTCTTTTCCTTTTGGTTGTGATATCATGTATCGATTCATGTTAGCCGACCCCAATATCTTTTGGGACTAAGGCTTGGATGTTGTTGTTTTTTTTTTGTCTTAGGATTAAGTTACACGTGCAATAGGCCACCATAATAATTCACTTAAAGGAGAATATGGCTATAGCTGATGACATTTGTGAAAATAAAACAGGAGGATAAATGTGTTACTTGTGTAACCAAACATTCCATTGTGAAGTTATCGTACCTAGTGAGAGGTCTCGAGTTCGAAACCCACTAGGCACATAAGGGTTTGAAACTCAACGGAGTGAGTTTCAGCCTGATTACTCCAGGCCCCCCAGACCCCCTCCCCAGACGCCCCTTGGAGTAAAAAAATTGTGTTACTTGTGTGTATTGTGTATCTTCTTCAGAACTTGAGCCATCTCTTCTCTTTTTCCTTGGTGAAAACTTGGATGGAAGCAGAAGAATGAGCAGCTTCAGCATCCGCCAGAGCTTTCCGAGTCTCATTCAGTTTCCTCATACCAGCCTCATAAACCACTGTCTCCCTCCTGTTCCTATTCACCATCTTCTCCAGTCTCTTCACACGCATCTTCAGCACATGTATCTCATCCTCGTATCCAAGCAGGCCCTGCCTCCCCTCTCCTCTCTTCTCATCTCCTTTATGATCCATCTGGTGCTTTTTCAAACTCTCAGTATGAACAGCAAGCTGAGAATTGATGAGGGAAAACATGTCAAACTCTGATCCTTCCTCTCTCAAGGCTCTTGCTGCTTCTGCGAATCTCTTCTCACGTTTCCTCTTCCCACCCCTGCTCCGTTTCTTCCCCTCCTTTTGTTCCGTTCGGATACCTGAACATATTAGAAAAGGCATACAGTGAAGAAACCATCAAGGACGATTGGAAAATCATCTAAACCATAATACATTTATTTCACATATTTGTTGATGTTCATTTTCTTATTTAAATACAAAAAAGAAATCATAAAAACTTCTCTTAGCACATCTCAGTCCCCTTTCCATAGCACTTTCCGGGATCTAGACATACCAATAGTTTTTTCCACTCCATTCCTCATAGATTCAAAGGAGTGGAGGGGGGGTTGTTTGGACGGTAGAACTTTGAGGGAAATGGGGTCCAACATTCCCTGTCCGGCAACTCCTAGGCCCATTCCTTCGTGGTAGCCCATGTTCGCCATCATCTTAGAAGCCACGCCACGAGTGTGATTTTCCCACCTGGCAAAAAGTGCAGTTTCTGTCTGGACCCCACTTTGCATGGTCGTACTTTGTAGAAACCCAAGCTCTTGTAGAGGAACAGCAGAATCCTCATCATCCAAGTCACTACAAGTACAATCAGAGGAAGTCATTTCTACCTCTGCCTCTTCATCACTCAACTCTGCATGTTCTGAAAGAGAGAGAGATTCTATCCCAAGTTCAGAAGAGCTTCCCGTGTCACGGAACACGACATGACCCAGATTAAGAATCACATCCCAAGATTCTAGTTCAGCTTCTCTCCATAACCCAGAACTGTTTCCCTCTGCCTGGGCCCAAATACTGGACCCCACCAATGAAGGACCCCATAGTGTAGGGACAAACTTCTTTAGGGAAGTTATTGGGACACCAATACCTGAGTGAGACAGAAACCCTCTATCAGTAAGGTTATACACATATTGGACAACACCAATAACATATAACTATATGAAGGCCAAGTGAATGTAAGGCAATTGAAACTGGTTCAGTGTTCAGTGAATGACAGGCTGACAGCATTTTGCGACACAACTTTAAGTATGCCAGACAATGAAATTGTCCCAGAAAAGGAAATACCAAAGCATTTCCTAACATCACACGGAGTAGTAGTAGACAGCAAGCTCCTATAAAACTCTTACTGTAAGTATTACATGATTCACTGCTAGATTGGTATCAGATACGTCAAGTTGTTCTAGAAAGGAAACTACTAAGGATCTGTTTGGAACCATGAAAATGATAGCAAAAGAAAATAAGAGAGAAAAATAGGAGGTATTATTCTGCCATTCACCACCACTAAAATGGTATCAGCACATGAGAGGTGAGTGGTGAACCTTTAGAAACTACAGAATGTTTCCTCATTCCATGAACAAAAGTCTGCACTAACTATTTTACTCTCCAAAGAAGCAGATTTCCCCCCTGCTTACTTCATGTCCTACCATATTGTCCTTTTCCAAGTTCAAGGAAACACAAGTATTTGCAGTTAATGTATCTTCTTAAACAAACAATCAAGATCCACTTGCTAGGATGACTTTAGCAATCCAACATACCATGTGACAAGCGGCAACTACTACCAAACCGACAACGCTGTTGTAAAAAGAACTTGCACATCTGCACTGGGGTGATCTATTGTTAGAACGCAGATATTACTAAACTTTAAGCATAATATACGATCAGCAATAAGAGAAGGTTAGCCAATGTCCGATGCACATAATCTGAGCTAAATAGCTCTGCATAAAACAGACATTCTCTTTGTCAAACCAGCCTAGCTATTATCTGATGACAAAGAAAACCACCCCTTAATAAAGTCATATGATATCGAGTACAAGTCAAAAGGAAAAAATAAAACAATAACTGTATAGTCCAGAGCAAAATATAGTATATATTCATCTAAAACTGTGTACAACAAAAGCCTAACACAAACTGCACCCTAAAAGGGAATTTGTAGAAGAGAAGTGTTACTCACAATGTTAAATGAGGCAATAAGAAATATGTTAGAGTAGTCTTGGATGTTGTTGTTGTAGGCAACTACCAAATTCCATACTGCATCTGTTACTTACTTATATCCATATCACAATGGCTGGACAGCCCAAACTCGTGGCAATACATGCCAAATATGTGACGAAGTGTCTATTTGACATTAAACCGCAAAAAGAAATGCCTAAAACCTAATATATAATCAAGAACTATGATAGGATAGCTCAAAAGCTTTATTTAATTACTTAACTTAGACATCTTCCACAAATATTTAAGAAAACAAAAAGGCAGAACAGAGACATGAAAAAAGGAAGTTGTACAGACCAGCATGCTTTCAGATGTAGGAGTCAGGAATGAAACTAATGCAGAATGAGAACCCTCTAACTGCAAAATCAGTCCATTATACCATCGTCCATCAGTAAAGCGGAACCTACATTTTGATCCAATAGAATAATTTTGATCCACAATCGGTTCTACTTCATCATATAAATAATTGTGATTGACAGAATCCTCTGGATCAAGAGGCACGATCTTCTCATTCTCGGAATAACTTTTGGAGCATCGCATAGCAATATCAACTTCTCTAAGTAGCCTTGCCTGTTTCATGTGAAGAAGCCCATTCTCCACTTCTTTGATAGACTGTTTAAGCTCTTCTTGAACCTGATATGGTGCGGGACCAAATCATTAACACACAGTGCACAAAAACCAGAAGACGCAGTCATGCAATGCTACAGCGTGATAACAAATACTCTCCACCCAAAAATGTTTTTCCCAGTTTCTTTTTTGTTCGTCCCAAAGAGTTATCGGAAAGATTTGCGTCTTTAATCCATTCTTCATTTTCTAAACAAATACTACACGCATAATTTCAATAACATAAAAAACAGTAAAAAAACAAAGGGGGAGAACATTGTAGGACAGAGGGAGAAATAAAATATCTACACATATGCCATCAGAATGAGTTAGAAAAGGGCATACTGATGCTCAAATATCACACATAATGGGGTCAGTGACAGAGATAGTCGAACACACAATTCCCTTTACAAGTTGCCCAGGGCCACTCTTTCATCAGAATGAATTTTACAGAGTATGTTTCGTATAAAAAGAAGCTTTAATGGTAAATTTATGAGTTCGCAACCAGAAAAAGACCTTCTGCACTACAACTTAAGCAGAACGAACACCTATGTTCGATAAAATTAGGCTCCATACCGAATTCTAATCCAATCAGTCTACGTTAAGATTTCATCTTTCGCATAGCTATTTAGTTCAGGCTTGGTTGCTGCACCTATTAAGAGTTGAAGACCATACAATTTGATTTCACAATTAGTGTCATGACTCAATACACTATATAGTCTCTAGATCAGTGAACTCTACCATATCCCTCAACAATAAACAAAATGGGGGAAATACTTCCGATGCAATGTTAAATCGGCCCAGATTTATGTGCAGGATTAAATCGGCCCAGAGCAATGCTTCAAGTTAAAGGTTAATTAGCAATCCTTGTGTTGGCCTCAAAATTAGTATAACTTGCAAATACAAACAAGTAAAGACAGGAACTGATCCAATGGGTTTCATGTGATTGGGAGGAATTGGGGAACATATATAAATGGGGTATCCGCTATCAACAAATGTAACCCTAATTGGATTGGCAGTTCAAAGGAGGCGGACCAATATGAGTTCGAGATTGGAGGGATCGGAAGAAAGGGCTTCGGTCAGGTCGCCAAGGGAGTCTTTATGTTCTCGAAGCTGAAGCTCTAACTGTTCCTCAAGAGTTGTCTCTTCTTGGTTGACAGCCATGGATGCCTCCTTGAGATCAAAATAAATGATGATTATTTACGGGTAAAATAGTTGCAGTACATTGTTTGTGAGAAAGCCCTTATCCACACCTTTATTTGTGCCGGGGCACCTATTTTTACAAGATTTGACAAATCCGTCCAGCAGATTATTTTACTTGATTCATGTCTAGGTACCCATTAAAAAAAGAAAAAGGTCAGATATGTTCTCGAACTAACTTAAAAATGCAAATCATTACTTATATAAAAGACTCTGTCCGGCCGTCACCATTTGGGGCGGCTCCTGATGAAATTTTTTGAGTATCTTCTTAATTAAGTCTAGTTTATACATATCAAATTTCAGATAAAAATTCAACCGGGAAGACAGTCAAATCATTTTCTGAAATGTACTGCGTTGTTTAACTGCGCAGTTATCTTCAAAAATTCATTTGACTGCCTTCCCGATTGATTTTTTAGCTAAAATTTGGTATGAGTAAACTAGATTTAATGAAGAAGATGCTCAAAAAAATTCATTCCATTATGAATCGTTCCAAATGACAACGGCCGGACATAGTCTCCTATATAAGGGGTGATTTACATTTTTTAAGTTAGATCGATGACCTATTTGACCTTTTTCCCATTAAAAATGATACGGAGTAATATACAGTATACTACAATGGTACCCGATTGTTTCATATTATTACTTCATCATTTATTAATATACGATAGTATTAAATACTACATATGTCCTACTAATATTAAGACGGAAGGGGGCGACATGGTTATTAATAAAAGTGAATGTTTATGATTGATATTAATTGATAAGGTAATAATAATGATTTAGAGTCACACAAAGTTTATCAAATTTGATATGAGACAATTTTAGTTAGATTTCCCTAAAAGGTAAAATGGAAAATATTAGAGGGGCCCTAGGACGGAGAGAGCATATATTAAGAAGTTGTTCTGTTCATCTTATTCTTATTACTTATTGCTTATTCTTATTATATTCAAATCAGATCAGAAAAATTCAGATGAGATCAGATCAGATCAGAAAGATTCAGATCACACCAGACCAGGTCAGAAACATTAAAATCATATCAGAAATATTCGGATCAGATCATAAACATTCAGATCAGAAAAGTTCAAACATGATTTATCACTTTTATTATCTTAATAATTTTAATAATAATAATAAAGATGATTTTTATTACTATTATTATTATTATACTTAGTATTTATAATTATAATTATAACTATAATTATAGAAATACATATTATATTTATAAGTACAATTATAATTATAGAAATAATTATAATTAAAAATATAAGTACAATTATAATTATAGCTATAATTATAATTAGTGTAGAGGTGTAATTATTATAATTTGAATTTTAATTTCAATTATTATAAATATAATTATATATTTTTATAATTATTATTATAATTATAATTATTTTTAAATTATAATTATTATAATTATAATTATAGAAATATTCAAATCAAATCAGATTTGAAAGATTCAGAACAGATCAGAAGGATTTAGATCAGATCATAAGGATTCAGATCAGATCAGAAAGATTCAGATCAGGTGAAGAGAACAGCTTCTAAATATAGTACGGTAACATAGTGTACCATATAATTTGTTTTTTACTCATTAATTAGGGACTGTTTACTTTTTATATTAAGTCACCTTCTCTTACCAATCCAATTATAGTCGTCAGCAACGTTAAGGGCGTCGTCGCCCAAGACATTACCTCTCTAATGAAGCTTACTCTGATGACAAGGTATGTTCTCACCATGAACAACCTCACTCTTGGGCTTTTGAAAGGTTGTGGGATAAGCACGGATGTCGCCTAGTCCAATTCCGTGCAAGAGGCCAGGGGCTCGGTCTCCCGGACAACGGAATACCAAGCCCACCAGGACAAGGGAAAGAAGCCCCTCCATGTTGAGGATGCCCGACACAAAATTAATTGAGCACACTCGGAAAGGGTGGGATCTTATTAGCAGCAGGAGGCTACCAATGACCACACAGACGAAATCACTGACACTTTACAGCGTCGACTAGACGAGATGGAGGCCAAACATCAGCATGGGACCTCAGTCGGACCCCATGGTTGCAACCCTCCTTGAGAAGGTCAATGAACTATAGAAGAAGATCACAGAGGGCGAGGGGAGGGGCCATCGTCCACATGTGGAAAAGAACTCATTTCCCCTAAGGGTGCAGGCAGTTTGCATCCCTAGCAAATATCGAGGGCAACCCATCAATTCGTTTGATGGCAAAACAGATCCCCATGACCACTATAGTAGATACGAGAATAGCATGTTAATGGTCGGGGCATTAGACGAATACTTGTGCTGATAAGTCCTCTCCACCCCTGAGTGGTTCATCCGATTGTTCGAGGGCAACCACGACTCATGGCAGGACCTTGCACAAAGGTTCCTGACCCACTTTTTCGACTAGAACCGTCCAAAGAAACGTTTCTCCCACCTCCTCCCCGTCAGACAAGGCAAGGATGAGAGCCTCCGCAGCTTCATGGAACACTGGAGGTAAAAGACGGTGAAGGTGGAATGGGGTAGACGACAAGACCCTGTTGACACCTTTCTAGGGTGTCCTCTACAACAATAGATCCTCCAACATTCAAATCACCTAGCCCCCATACTCATTATGGTCCTCTAATGGGGGGACAGGCATGCCGATGCCGATGAGCTATTCCGTCAGTCAACACGAGGATGACGGCCAACACTAGCGACATGAGGGCAATGAATAGCAGAGTGGGATTTTAGTGCCCACTGGCCCCTCAGCCCCATCTTACGACAAAACCTTGAACGTCCAAACCAAACCGGTAGGTTGATGCAAGGAGAACAAGAACCCCAGGGCGCATCTAGTGCTCCTCGAACAACCGCTCAACCCCTCACTCACTCTGTTAGAGTGATTTTGGACTACACAGAGTAGCACATGCTGGTTGAGCGAGATTCTTGAATGTCATAGAAGGTACTATTAATCAACCCCAACAAGTCGAACTGTCATTATCACTGTCATCGTGGCCACCACATGGATGAATGTTCCTCTCTGAAAATGGCAATTAAGAGACTCATACATAGGGGGCACTTAGCTCGGTTTGTGAGGGGGCGCAACCGCAAAGCAACCACTTGGGTCAACCTCACACCATCGGGGAAGATACCCCCATGACATAAAACGTGAGATTAGCAACCTCAACGACGATGTACAGGTCATAGTCACCCTCCCATAAAAATGCCACATCAACTTCATTACCGGGGGCAACATGTGAGGGGTCTTGGCCACCTAACAGAAAAACTGGGCTCACTCTCTAAACATTAGAAAGGTCAGCCACATTCCTTCACCCTTGGATAAGAGGGATAAATTCAAGCCCATCTCTTTCTGAGACAAGGACCTGCACGAGGGGTCCTCTCCCCTATTGGGGTACCCTTTTCATCATATGTGAGATCAACAACATCATCATAGCACGTTTAGGAAGTTGGGCCTCGACCGAGTAGCCCTATGCGTTATCTGAATTCCTCTTTACGGTTTCACAGGGGACTCGATCGATGCCAAGGGTACGATCTCCCTCATGGTCAAGATAGGTGACGGGACCCAAATAGACAAGCTCAAAACGGAGTTTGTCATCATGAATTGTGATTGCACAAACAACCTTATACTCGAGCGTCTAGGACTCGAGGACATGGAGGTCATCATTTCCATGAGACACCTCCACCTCAAGTTCCCCACCGCCAAGGGCGTGGGCTATGCTCGAGGCAATCAACAGATTGCTCGGACTTGCTACCTGAAAATCACTAGGGAGGTGGTCAAGGTCGAGATGAGGATTGACACTATCATGATGACGGTGGAGAAAGAAGATGATCGATCGAGTGTCGAGGCAGTAGTAGATTTAGAAGAGGTCCCTCTAGACCTGACCAAACTCGAGAGGGCCTTGAAGATTAGAAGACATCTCCCAACAGACCTAAGGGCTAACATTCTCTTGGTCCTAAGAACACATGGCATCAAAGTAACTTAACATATGGGTGAAGAAAGCTTCTGCACCATCTGATGGAGTATATGGCCCGGGAACCCCCGGCCCACAGACTCCTACTACACCAATAAAGGCCCAACCGGCCCAGGAAGCACAGCAGGCCCCAAATTACGGCGCCCAAGCACTTAGCAGCCCACAGCGCACACTGGGGAGCCTTCGGCCCCCTGGCCGAAGGCTCAAAACTCTCACAGAACGGGTTTTTTAAGCAAACTAAGAAACTGGGAGAAAAACGGCAGAAAACAGTAGCCCTCGGCACCCAGGGGGTCCCCGGCACTCAGGGCCCTCGGCTAGTCCTCTGCAGCCGAGGGCACCTCTCCCGACATAATATCCGCGCCACATGCGTACAGATCACCGTACCCTGTACAACGTCCCATCCAACAGCCGCATTAAATGCGGCCACATGCGGCTGCCAGCGCCAACCAGTTGAGGTGACCTCTCGGCCAATGGACGCTTGACACGTGTCCCTGTCCGGCATTTATTGCTACTATAAATAGCACCCCTTTTCCCCATTTGTAACCACGCTGAAAACGCTCCACACTCATAATATACTTTCTCTCTCTATATTCACTTGCTCTGACTTCTCTCTTGTTACTCCCCGTAATAACCCCTCGGATAAGCTACCCCCCGGGTACACTATCCATCATTTGGTGCTCTCGTTGAGAGGTCGAACAATCGAGTAAGAAACCCTCCCCCTTCGCCAAACACTAGCCCTCTACCAAAATGGTGAGAACAACACGTGCCAACTCCAAAAACGTGGAAGACAAGAACCTGGCCCTCGGCGACGTCAACGCCCCCGAAGCCTCTCACAGGGCTCCCGAGGGCGGTGTCATCGCTGGGCTGGAACAGGCGGCTGTCGACCTACATCTTCAGATCCAACAGAATGCCCCCGATGCCCGCCTCGGCATCGAGGCCAAGAAGAAAAACCGGAGCGATGACCAAGTCAGCCCTCCAGTTCTCACCATCGACGTTCATTCGGCGCTCTCCGCCTTCATCCAGACGCTCACTCAGAACCCAGGTGCCTTCGGCACCCTGGCTCCGGCTCAACCCCAGGTTGGGGAGAACATCATACTTCCCCCTCTGCCACACCCCTTCGG